CGGGGCTACACAGTGATTGACAGGTCTCTACCAGAGACGTATACGTCACTCCTCCTCAGTCCAGATATGGTCACTTCCTGTTCACTGGTTGAGAAAAAAACAACATGGCGACGGAGAAATCTCCGAACTGGAGGCTTCAAAACATCAGTCCACAAACCGATGAGAGACGTCATGACGACTACGTCCACTTCTTATAGACGGTCTATATTTAACCATTTACGTCGGTTACTACTGAACTCTGTAGAAACCATTTCAATGTTGGTAACAGTTGTAATTCAACGTTTATAGTTTTTAAAGTCGTCTGGATGTTCTGGGGAAAATAATTACATTTTTGCTGACAACATATTCTAGATGACGTTATCTGTAAAAGATGAATTACCGTCTTATAAGGAGAATTATGACCGGAGGGTGTGATGACACAGCAGCAGAGGAAGGAGTTCACATCCTGTGAGTCATGATGAGTCGTGTCCCTTTAACTTACTCACATTCAATGCTGGACTTCCTCTAAAGGTAAACTTCTATGAATGTCCATGACTACAGTAGAGGCTACAGTTCTACTTCCTGTCTGACTGGTTGAAGCAGCGCTGGGATGAAAGGATATAACTGATACAACATTTATAGTTTCTTTCAGATGAAAGGGTTTGTTTTTCTGGTGTTTTAGCAAATCTCTTATTTGGGGAGTAAAGTATGACGTCCTTACATACATACAGACGGATCTTTAGACCTTTAGACCATCTCTTCCTTTACCTTCAAAATAACAATCCCAGCGGATCGTTTCAGTAATATTCTCAGCAGCGATCAATCTAAGCTCCACCCAATGTGAAGCAAATTGAAAATCAATCCTTCTCTCCCTCTGGTTTCTTCAATATGTGCATGCTTGAGCTTGTTAGCTTGTTAACACAGGAGCCTCGGGCCGTTCTTAAATTGATCGGCTGTTTAAAAAGCATTTTATCGACCAGACCGACTGAACGCTGTAAAAAATGTTGTTTCATGTGATGTTTGTTTGGGGAAAATGCAAAGTGATCAAAGTAAAGTGCTGCAGAGACCCGTCCAGTCCAGCAGAGCGTATCACGGGACAGGTGTGAGACCTGGTTCCTTAGGGACAGGTGTGAGACCTGGTTCCTTACGTACAGGTGTGAGACCTGGTTCCTTAGGGACAGGTGTGAGACCTGGTTCCTTAGGGACAGGTGTGAGACCTGGTTCCTTAGGGGCAGGTGTGAGACCTGGTTCCTTACATACAGGTGTGAGACCTGGTTCCTTACGGACAGGTGTGAGACCTGGTTCCTCATGGACAGGTGTGAGACGTTCCTCATGGACAGGTGTGAGATCTGGTTCCTTAGGGACAGGTGTGAGACCTGGTTCCTCATGGACAGGTGTGAGACCTGGTTCCTTACCTTGTGATAGGCGGACCGGCTGAGAGACCCGGAGCCCGTCGATGGCACAGAGGTTCCCACAGGGGTGCAGCGTGATAACCCCCGACCTGTTCTCGATGTAGCAGTGCTGGGCCGCCACTCCGAGGCCCTGGATGTTGACGTCCATGGAGCCATGACCCAGAGTGGTCCGTCCTGTGGGGGGGGGGGGGGGAAGGTTAACATCTGATGTGGTCGACCACTGATGATGTAACACAAGGAGCTAATAAGGAGTTGTTGTTTTTTTCTACTGATGATCAGTTACGGCATATTTTAGGAAAATATTACCAGTAAATAAAAATATACATCATATTATTGAGAGGTCTCTGAGAGCTGCGAGGTGGAACTGGAGCGGCCATGTTGGACAGACAGACAGACGTCTCTTAGCCGTTACATTGCTCGTGTCACTCGTAGGGTGAACTTAGCATGAAGCTAACTGGTGTGTCGTGTCTCACCCTCAGGTAGCGGCAGCAGGGTGATTGCGGTACTCAGGCGTCCACTACCCAGACTGACCAGGTGGGGGCGCTCTGCCTGGAACTTCAGCCCCTTCCCGGTCTCGATCAGGTCCAGAGGAGTGCTCTGCAAACAGAAGTCAAAGGTCATAGGTGAACTGAGATGTTTGATTGGGATGAATTAGCCTGTTTTCTGGTGATTATATGTCTTCATCTTTCTCTGGACAGGAAAATAAAAACACATTTGTGGTTGACTCATAATCCATTTTTATGTTTTTGTTTCTATTTTAGTTCCATTTAATGGCAACATGCTTCCCTTTTATATCAGAATTACTATAAAAACACAGAAAGTTGCATCACATTGTATGAATAAGTTGACAAAACATGTATTTTTTATGAGCATCAGAGGAGCATCAGAGGAGCATCAGAGGAGCATTAGAGGAGCATTAGAGGAGTATTAGAGGAGCATCAGAGGAATATTAGAGGAGTATTAGAGGAGCATCAGAGGAGCATCAGAGGAATATTAGAGGAGCATCAGAGGAGTATTAGAGGAGTATTAGAGGAGCATCAGAGGAGTATTAGAGGAGTATTAGAGGACTATTAGAGGAGCATTAGAGGAGCATTAGAGGAGCATCAGAGGAGCATTAGAGGAGTATTAGAGGAGCATCAGAGGAGTATTAGAGGAGCATCAGAGGAGCATTAGAGGAGTATTAGAGGAGCATCAGAAGAGTATTAGAGGAGTATTAGAGGACTATTAGAGGAGCATTAGAGGAGTATTAGAGGAGTATTAGAGGAGCATTAGAGGAGTATTAGAGGAGTATTAGAGGAGCATCAGAGGAGTATCAGAGGAGTATTAGAGGAGTATTAGAGGACTATTAGAGGAGCATTAGAGGAGCATCAGAGGAGCATCAGAGGCTCCTCTCTGAGGGGGGTCGTCTCCATCGTTAACAGACTCCACACACACTGGAGGGAGGAATCTGTTCTGACTCCCTTGTCTCCCCCTCTGCACTCGGCACAACGAGAGGGGGATGGGGGGGAGGGATGTCACCATGGCAACAGCACTTTCCGCAATTAAGAAAACACGATTCTCCTCGAGACAACAAAGACATTAAGACGATTCTATTCTTCTTAGTATTCTTCGTTAATGTGAAGTGAACGTCTCATACTGAAATTAATTGCTCCTGTTGAGCAGCAGCAGCTGTTAACATGTTGAATCTATACAGTAAATATAATAAACTAGAGGAGAGTTTGGAAGACGTGAAGGTTTTTGGCTTAAAAATATGCAGTTTTACATCGTATTTGGCTACGATATTATTTCACACATCACAGCCTTCATTTGAAGACGAAATTATTCTGGCAATGTTTTGCCCTGTACATGTTCTGTACATCAAAAGAGGAGATTCAGAAAACTTTTAAATACTTTAAATACTAATAAAAAAGCTGTGATGAAGAGTTTCATTTTTTACAAAAAGGTCTTGAACACTGTTCAGGATAAATCACAGCACCCTCGGAGACAATTATTTAACTTTTACACATAAGAACTGGTTAAATAATACATTAAAATGTATAAATACACGAGTCTCACAGGACCCTGTCTGGTCATCAGGTGACCCTGTGCAAGATCACGACCCCAAGCTTGAGAAACGTTCCTTCCTGGTTCAATGACTTCAGAGATGATTTAGCAGCTTTTTATAATCCAGCGTACAGTCGACCATTCAGCACGTGAAGTGTTAAATGAACTAATTTGCATATTTTAAAAGCTGTCTTTTTGTCCCTCTTACATTTCTTATTTACAAACAGCTCCGGCGTGCTGACAGGACTACGTGACGGCGGTGGAGTCTGTGAGAGGATCGGTGGGACAGAGACCGGGAGGCTCACTGAGTGATGAGGATCCTCATCAGCTCCTCTGCTGTGTGCTGCTGCTCCCGTGTGTCACACAGTCTGACACCAGCGCACCAGAATCCACACGGACATACTGTGTGTCTTCTAATATATGGTTCTTCTTCAGGTTTTTTACGGTACAAGTCTGTGCTGACACTTTGTACCTACATCCTGTCCTCCAGTGCATCATTTATTTCTCCACTTTTCTGTTTTTAGTTTCTTATTCAAGAGAGATTTGTTCAGAGAAGCTTTAGAAACAGGAAGTGTTAAAAATCTACATGTGAGTGAATATTTATCAGGCAAATCAAATAGTTTGCAGGATATTAAACCTTTGTCTCTTTATTAATACATACTTGACTTCTTTCTTTACAGGGTTTGTATAAAGTAATAAAGTAGTTTATGAATATGAGATATGAGTTTACAGATAATTACAATCCTCCTCTCTATAGTAGAGGTTAGTTTAAGGTGTTTTTCCGGTTATACGATATAGAAGCAGATTGCTGGGCGACACAGGTTTTTAGTTTGGATCCTTTTTAAACTCTTAATTTATCAAGTTTACCAACAGTAGCGTCACGAGGAAGAGACACGACAGAGACAATCTCTGAAGAACAGCCGCGTCTACGTCAGGTTAACTTAAACTGAACAGATGCAATCAACCAGTTTGTGGAGCAGAAATATAGTGTCACAAAAGAATTAATAAGAAAACTTAAACAGATAGTAGACACATACAAATAATCATCCCAGTTTCCCCTACAGGAATCATTAAAGCTTCATCTCATTTGGTTTATCTTCCACACACACACACACAGATACACACACACACAGACACACACACACACACAGATACACGCACACACAGACACACACACACACACA